GCATATGACCATATTTTCTTTTGTCTTAAATTTGCCTTTGAATTTTTCCATATTTCAGATGTAGAATGATTCTGAGATTTGTTGATGAAAGCCATCAAGGAAAGAGACAAATGCTATTTAACTTAACAATAAGACAATAACACAGAATAGAGGTGAGACAAAAGTGCCTACAGAAAGTAATTGTTTATTTAAAACCAAACAATTAGAATGCTCTCTCCCCATAAGACATATGTACTAGGTCCCCCTCTCCCTTTTATTTTCATGAGTACATTTCTATACAATTTTTCAAAAGCTTAATATCTAAGAGTATATCCTGTAATTCATATTTTATTTAATATGTAAATTATGTAGGCCATAATTTGTTATGTGCCTTATTGGAAATAACCAAAATACTTATCATAGAACTGAGAGAGAGAGGGAGAAAGAGAGAGAGAGAGAGAGAGAGAGAGAGAGAGAGAGAGAGAGAGAGAGAGAGAGTTAAATCAGGATCATCTTCTTAAACTGGTGTTGTAGTTTAAATGCATTGAAAGAAACATGGCCTAAGGGCAGCTCTTTACTATGAATCTAAGAGATATGTAATTGGCAACTACAAAGAATGAAAAAACATCAACATAAAAATTTAATCTTCTCCTCTGCCAAGCCTAGTGACTTTGACAGTGGAAGGGAATGGATGCTGGAAAGCAATTTCTAAATGCCCCTCAATAAGTGTTGCAAATGTAGACCAACCCGTACAAACACTCTCTCCCTCCCCTGGCTGCATACTTGGACCAGAGAAACTCCAAGGAAAGGGTGACCATGTGAATCCATCATTCCTTTCTACAACCTCCTCTACCTCCCTGGAAGCCTGAGAGGATCTATAATGCTCAACTCAGTTCACACTCTGGCTCTGGAAATCACCCTGACAAGGATGGGAAAACATTTTTCATTGAATCAGCTGTGACACCTTTGTTGATGGCTGCTTTCAAACTATGAAGACCCTTAGCATCATCCTTCATTGCTCAATTTTGCTATGAGCTCACAATAGCATTTTAACTTTAAATCCATAAAGGACATTTAGGATAGGCCTTCTAATCTCTCACATGCACACTGATATCTTTTTGCCTCTGAATCTGTCCATTTTTGTATAACAATGGTGTTATGTTCAAACCATGATTTAAAAATTATTGTCTTATCCCCTTGACTCAGAACGGCCTATGCATTTATGCAGCTTCTGAGAATTAGCCTGATCAGTTGTTCTGAAGCCTGTTTGAATGTCACTCCATAGTTGTAAAGCAGCCAGAATGCTGATTTGGCTGGCATGCAGAGGAAGGCTTTAAATAGTTCCAGTGTATCTGCGCCTGACCTTTCTCCTTCCAGTAAGGACTCAATACCATAAGGAACTCAGAGTTCAGTGAAAGTAGAACATATATTTCCAGAAACACTATTTTAAGATTTCATTTTTTCTAGAGAAGTATTAGGTTCACAACAAAAGTGAGAGAAAAATACAAAGATTTCTCATCTACCCCTGCCCCCACACATGCATAGCCTCCCCCATTATCAACATCACTCAAAAGAATGGCACATTTTTTTACCAAGGATGACCCTTCATTGACACATCATAATCACCCAAAGTCTATAATTTACCTAAGATTTCACTCTTGGAGATATACATTCTATGGGTTTGTTCAAATGTATAACGACATACATCAATCATTAGGATACAAAATATTTTCACTGCCCTAAAAGTCTTCCGTGCTCTGTCTACTCATCTTTCCCCTGCCTACCTCTAGCAATGACTGATCTTTCCATTTTCTCCATAGTTTTGCTTGTGCCAGAGTGTCATATAGTGGACTCATACAGTAGGTAGCAGTATGTAGCCTTTTCAGATTGGCTTCTCTCCCTTAGTAATTAAGCACATCAGGTACCTCGATGCCTTTACATTGATTGATAGCTCATTTCTTTTTGCACTGAATTTGTCTGGATGTACCACAATTTATGTATGTACTCACTCACTGAAGGCCATCTTGATTGCTTCCAGTTTGGGGCAATTGTGAATAAAGTTGCCATAAACATCCATGTGCTGGTTTTTGCATGTACGTGAGTTTTCCAGAAAGAATTTTTACATATTCTCATTTTATTAAACAAGAGCAAATTTTTAGGTCTGTTTCTCTATATACCTTCTCACCTCTAAATGTAATTACACATTAAACATTCTCTAAATACAAGCTTGAGAGATTTCTGGTAGTGTTCAGGAACCAACATGTATGGTCTCTTTATGTATTAACTTTGTGTTCTTACAACATAACCTTGTTTTCTGGTAGTTGTAATAAAAATGAATGTCTGGTTGAGATCAAAAGTGATATAATGAATCTGTTATTAATATGCTGTTGAGGAAAATGACCAAAGAGGGAGAAAATCTAACAGGATCCAGGATGATAAAGACATTTATGGATCTCCACTTGTTAAATTTTTAATTAGTTCAAATGTACATACGTTGAAGTACATTTACTATACATATTCACAAAAAGGAAATGTTTCCATCTGAAAGAATATAAAAATCTTGAAAGGTGCAGATGCAAATGACAAATAATCGACATTCTATAAATGTACCTCAGTGACTTGTATAAGAAAATTAAGTATTGATTAAAGAAAAACAGTTATTTAAAATCTATACTTTAGCAGAGGATATATTTAGCAATTGAGATTGTTAAGCAGTACATATCAATAAAGTAAGCCAAAAGGTAAGCTGATACACAATACACTTACTAGTTTGGCTTAATAAAGGATTTGCCATGCCATACATTTAAGTAGCCCTGGAACCTTTAAAAATGAGTGCATATTATACAGGTAGAATACTCACATGATACCCCAGTGTTTTATTACTACCAATTAAAAGCTGCCAGAAAAGGGAAATCAAGAGAGTTTAAGAGCAGGACTAAAATTAACTGTCTAATTGGGGACTTTCTTAGATTGCCTGAAAAAAATATGGAAAACATTTTCACGGATTGTTTCTTTCAGACTTTCAAGACAAGGACGATTACACACTACATTATAATATCTGGCAGAGATTCATCAGAATTTATGTAAAAAAATGCAAAACGTGTAGTCTCTGAATTGTTATTTATATTCCTTGTGATGACACTCAAATGACTTAGGTAGCATTCTTAGTAGTTGGCAGTTTCTACAAAATATGCCAATTAAAGACTCCAACATCACTGCACCGTATCATGTCACATTCTTGTAAAACACAAATGTTGAGCTTTCACAGCAGGCCACCATACAGCACTGCTATGGCAACATCTCCATAGAGTTCCTGAGCTCCTTTGAAAAGAGGGATCAAATCAACATAAGAAGAGATGAAATATCATCATAGCCTTCGCTATAATTATCTGGCAGAATAAGCTCTGTATAGAACCACACATTAAAACAAAATTATTTAGTTAAACTAAATGTCTTAGTTCAGTTTGGCTTATATGTTCAAGAGAATTGGTGAACAATAAAAAAAATAAAACGTTGATTGGTCTTCTGTCTTTTTTTGTTTTGTTTTTTGGTCTCTGGTTAGAAAGGCCAACTGCTTTTACTGAGAACACTTAGAAAATACAGATTTGTTCACAGAAAAATGGTTCACCATAAATAAACCGTAATTCTACATGTGAGTCAGAAAATATTTCTGATAGAGAATTTTTGTATATGTATCCTTTTCTGCAGATACACATAAGGTTTATTTCCCATTTATTTAAATGTATAATAATAAGCATTATTAACTTCATATGCTTTCATGCTCAATAAGGGTTGACTACTTAAAAACAGTTTTTAAAAATCTTTTTTTTATTTATAAAAATGTTGCTAAAATTTAGTATAGACACTTAAAATTTGTTTAAACAGAGGCCAACAAACCTGCAGGTGTTTTTGGCCTATTCCAAATGAGTGGAAAAGAAAAAAAAGAAAAAAAAGTTTATGCCAACTCTTCGAAGGAGTAAAGGGAATGTTTCTAATGTAGCATGATGAATCCATGATGAAGTGAGAAATGCAGGTATTATGTATATTATAGAAATATTCAAAATATATGTAGGTTGAATTCTAGTAAAAAACACATCCTTTTATAATTAACATTTTTTTTTCTTAAGTATAAATCTGGAAAACACAGTGCTTAGAATAGACAGAAAGTACAAATCAAACAAGCATAACGGAAAGTCCACTACAGAATTAGTTGACAAAATGAGCCACAGAGCATTCTGACACTTGGAATAGTTTGAATTAGAAAACAACTTTCAAGAGATTATCATTTCACTCCTAACTAATAGGGGAGGAGAATCTTTAATTATTTTTATACTAAGTTTAGAGGGGCTAAAAGGGTGTTGCAAAAAATGTGCTGATTATATTTATTGTTTTTTGTTTGGATAAGGAAATTATCTTTTTGAAGAACTTAATACAAATTAGGTATTAGTTATTAATTATGGCAGATGAATGAAAATTCACACCTTTTCTTCTGTTCTATACTTTTCATAGTTTTTCTGTTCCTAAGCGCTTTGTTTTCCTATTCATGATTTCTAAATAGCCAAGTCTAATAGGCTATGGTTCCTAATCCTTGCCAGATTCAAGCCAATTTAAGTTAGCAGTGAACGGCTTACCTTGTGGTCCACATCTTCTGGAGGAACGTAATGTATTTCAGTTATGACCAGGTGATTGTAAGCATAATAGTTAACTCTACCTAGTGGCAAAGAAAAAAATCCCTGCTGGTATCTGGATGCCTTCTTGGACCAATCCTGAATCTAACGACTCCTTCACCATCAAAATGAAACATTTCTAGTCATTGAAAGAGTTTCTCATAATATAATCCAAGAAAAGCATTTCCAGGGTATGTCAATATTTAAACCCATAGAGGAAAGAAATTAAAGAGGGGCTGTTTGAAATTTGAGTTGAAGCTTTCAGTTAGTACTTTCACATATAACAAATCCAGCACTGAAATGAGAAGAAATCCCTCTTAGATAAGTCATTTGTGAAACATAAAGCTCACTCACCATTCCGACTCTCTTCATCAATAGCAACTATGGTAGCTGGTGGTCCTCCCCTGTTTAGTTTGCAGTCTAAAGAGGGAAAACAACCAAAGGTGAGAAGTCACTAGGGCAAGGGCACTCGCCCTGCGATCATATTCACTGAGATATATACTAATGCTTAAAAAGAAAAATCCCGCAATCAAATTAATATGCATCACTACTTTTAACATTTTATTTTTGTTTAACAAAATTCATAATGATTTCATAGATGCCTTCCCACATCACAACACAGTCACTTTGTACACCATGAAACCATTCAAATCTTACTGAGGAAACACCAGCAGAGACCACTGGAGAGCATAAATTCTTCCGGACAGAGATAATGGGATGGTAATTTAACCCAAAGAAATAACATAAAGGAATGATTAACAAGGATAAGTTGTAATTAAAACTTCACAACAGAAACAAACATAATTGGACTTTAAATGTGATAAAGAGTCTAATTAAAGAGAGTGAATAAAATTTTAACCATGTTCTAAAGGGAATGAAAACAAGGACGGACAAGCAATACATACGCAGGAGGTTGTTTGGAATTTTTTATTTTTGTCGTCTTACCCTCATATTGCCAGTCTGGAGTCAAAAGTATAGAGTCATCAGTGGAAGCAGATCAGAAAAATAGAAGAAAGGAAGAATATACATACATATTTAGTGAGGATACAGATATAAATAGAATTATATAGTAACAGATGTATCACCAAAAGATTTGTAGAAAAGAAATATATATAAAGTCCTTATAACACATTTTGTAATTCTAGTATAATATTACCACATTAACTTGATAATATATACCATTTGAATATAAGTATATTTATATTTTTCCTATGAAAAGGTAAATACAAATTACTTATGAACAGTCCATTATCTCTATGTTGAACAAACTTTAAAAATAGTGCCTGCCAATCAGTACTGATGACTAATTCTTTATTTCAGACACTGCTAATACCCTACCAAGAATATTATGATAATGAATATATAGATAGTATCATGAGCTATAATATCTATGATAATTAAAATGTGAAGGCTTTGCTTGCAGGATATCAAATTCTGAGACATAAAGCACTCTCCAAGAGGTACTTTATGATCCTGATTGGGCCCTGTAATGCAGTTAAATGGACTTGACACACGCTTATGACTGCAGCATACCTCAAATTTGCTCAAAGCCATCCAAGTATGTGTGTTACTTCAGAGATGGGTTCAAGGCTTATTATTTATTTATTTATGAAAATTCTAGTTATTACGTGCATGGGCATGGTAAGGTCTTTGGCAAGCACTGTTCTGCAATATATTGCCAGGTATGTGCTCTCTCATATGAACCTTAAAATTAGAGATTTATAATTTTTCTCTTCACCCTCGTCAATATTCAAGGAGCTTCAAGCCACAACGTTTTTAGATCTAAAATATCTCTGACTCATAGCATTCCTTCCTCACCTTCCTACCTCCCCAGAGAGCACAGCTGCTCACTATTTGTCACTCCTACTCTTTACAATAGGTTCTTCATCTATCTCCCGGAAGCTTTGTTCTTATCCTGCACTCATCTACTCATTCCACGAGAATTACTTTCATGCATCCAAATCAAAACTAAAATAATGGCACGTCTCACACACAAAAAAACTTATATATTTAACCATTCCAAGTTTTTCAAACTGAAATGATTTAGGATCACATTTCAAAGGATGTTACGGTTTCAACCTCCTTTACTTAAAATTAAGCACCATGCCTTCCAGTCACATCAGACCCCTTATACACTTGCTGGAACATACCTTGCATTTTTAGGAAAGTTTTGTTACCTAGATTCATTTTTGCCTCTCCTTCTGTGTGGCAAATCTCTGCTTCTCTTGGTGGAACTAGATTTCAGGTATCCCATGAAAACTCACCCATAATCCAGGTCAGAATGTATCTTTCTTCTCATGTTTTCAAAATGATATTTTGTTTAGCTAGGTTCTTATTCCTTCACACACTCAAAAAGTATTCATTCAGTCAAATTTGTAGATGAATTAAAATGTACTGAACATGAGAATCATAATCAACAGCTCCTTTTTTTAAGGATCTCCAGTGGGGAACATAGAATGTAGATACAAACAACCACATTGGTATAGTACCACATATGCAGAATCAATTCCTTAATAAATTCACTAACAACACAAATGATTAAAAGAAAATAAAGAGGGGCCGGCCGAGTGGCGCGATGGTTAAGAACTCGCTTGGGATGCCAGAGGGCCCCGGTTCGGATCCCACATATGAGGGCCAGTGACACTGCCCT